TAAGATTTGGTCTGCCCTTTACACAGGCCCATGAAGATGTTGTAGGAAAGCAAAGGTGCTGGAGGGGCTCCACACCACTTCTCATTCTCACTTGTCAGAGGGACCCACGGACTTTCACGTTCTGGTCCTAATTTAAGTCTTCACTGCAGCAGCAGGGAGCTCCCTGTGTGGGACTGGGCTCGGGTTTCCCTGCACTGGGACAGAGATGTCTGACCCCTTTCCATGCAATTGAGCAAATTTAGAACCTTTGGCCTTCAGTAAGAGGGAAAAGTACACACCCAGCACTGCTCAGCACTTTGCAGGATTTAGCCCACTCTGCACATGCTGTGTGGTGATGAAAACATGATTAAAGGAGCATATATTACATTATGTCCAGCTTTAGAGAAATATTTTAATGGAATAAAGACAGAGCCATACATTTTCTTTTTTTTTTCATTTTGGTTTAGCTGTAAGCTTCACCTCCTGGTATTTACAACCTGAAGCTCTCCAATATTGGGTTAGCTAATAGGATCCAGACAACGAAGCTGACTACAGGGAAAAGCAAGAGACTGTTTTAGTTTCACCAGCCGAGGAGAAGAAAAGACCCAGCTTGATAAATGGTGAGAAGTATATTAGATGTTAAAAAATATTTCATTTTCAATAATCCTAGGTGTTACTGACAACCCAGGTAAAAAGCAAAGTTCATTTCTTCAAAATATATTTAATCTGACAGTATCCCTTTAATTAAGTAGCAATTTAGATTTTCTTCTCCTCCACATACAAAGCTTTAATGAAACATGAAAGCCACAAAAGAAATTTGTGTGTGTTTCATGGCAAGGAATGATTTTCTGTTTAAATTCACAGGCAGCAGCTTTACAAATAACATTTAATATTTGTCGGAAGTATTATCTGCCTTTTCCCCTCACAGCATTACATTACTAAGGTAATAAGTACATGAGAATACATGATTTCCTGGCTACTGTATTGAATATGCACCTTTAAACAAAGTTAGACTTGGGAATTTACCCATATCTTAAAATGCTAATCTAGCACTAATTAAAAGGCCAGTGAACACGCTTTGATGGATCCCAGTTCCTGGCATATGACAAATGAATTCCGATGGCAGCACGACTGCAGCAGAATGACAATGGCAGAGCTGCAGGGAGCTGGGGGAAACCAGGGAAGGGCTTCTCTGCACTGGCACAGGGGCAGGGAGGAGGCAGAGCCGTGGTTTGGGTGGGTGCTGCCATCCCCCCAAGGTGTGCCAGCCACAGCCTTTGCTCCCCGTGGCAGAGCTGCTTTCCAGGCTATGCTGAAGCAGAAAACTGGCTGAGTCTGCATCCCAGCCACCCTCCCTCTGATACAGACACCTCCTGGCTGTTCACTGGGCAGTGCTGGGCTCCTCAGAAAGGGCAAAACAGCCTCCCTGGGGAGGAAAAGCCAAATGGGAGCATTTCCTTTCTCCCCCAACCACAGGTCATTCCTTCAACCCCTTCAGCCCCGTGCCTATCTATCGTTAAAGAAGCATAAAGAGATCAGGTAAATATTTCTAAGTGAGACTCTGTGTCCCATATCTCCCGTAAATAACTCTGTCTTGTTGATCTTCCTGTCTTAGAACCAGGAGAAAATTCCAACCCAGCTTGTAATGCAGTTTGGAGGCAGCCTATGAGCTCTCAAGTGCATGCCCCTTTTGCACTGACTGCAGCCCTCTTCAGAGGTACTCATGGCATGATGATATGCAAGAAGCTGAATCGCCTTTACATTCCTTCTTCCCACATGAGGAAAGACAAAATTTAATTCATGATAATTAAAAAGTCATATTTTTGAAGCAGTCTTCTTAGATGTCATTCTGAAAGGACTTGGAAGTTGGAATTTCCATGTACCATCACTTACCTGCCTGTGTAAAGCAGACTCAGTCCTTCCTTCTTACATAGATGGAAGAATTCATGATGATTCCTTATCCCTATTGCCCTTAGAACCCTTTATAGAGGGTTCTCCCTATAGGTAGCAGTTGAATTTTAGCATCCCATCTGTGACTGGACTAGAGACTGGAGGACACTGTTCCCACACCTAGGGAAATATCCCAGCCACTGAAGCACCAGGGTTGACTGATCCTCCCTAAAAGTGCCAAGTCAGTTTGTATAAATAAATAAACTCCCACTGGATCAAAACAAGGCTGCCTGTAGTCAGGGGTTAATGCCCAGGTTCCTGCCCAGCCTCCCCGTGAGGCAGAGTCAAATTTGGAGTGGCTTTAAACACCCTCTGGCAACCCAGAGACTGCCACTGAGCAGGACCTGCTCAAAGATCAGCAGCATTTTAACAGTGGGATCTGGGATGGCTCTGCATGGTCAAAAATCTGGCTTGGAGCACCTTCTCCAGGGTCCCACAGTGACATGGTGCCAGTGCTGGACACTGACCTCTGCTCTTTTGGGGAATGTCTGCCCTGATGTTTTCAAACCAGGCTCAGGGACACTCAGAAGGTTTAATGGAGTGGGCACAGCACCACATGAATAGAGCTGCACACATCTGGGACTGGAATCTGGGACTGGAGCTGGCTGGTTGCTACCCAGATGGGACTAAGGACAGGATGATCTTAGTCTGGCCTGCAAAAAGACCGTGGAAAAATATCCAGAGTCCCAATCTGCACCCTAAAACCAAGATCAGACTGCCCTTGCAAGGGGTGGGGGAGACAGTTTTCCAGATTGTTCTTTCTTCCTTTGTGAGGGAGGATCTCATTATGAGCAGAGCTGACTTTCTAGATGAAGAAAATTCTCCCTGTCACAAGTTCTGCTTGATCTTACTATCACAAACTGGATATACACCTCTAACATGTTCCTTGAATGCCACTCCTGTGTTCCCCTGCTCTTCGATCAGAGATAAATAAACGAGAGGCAGCATGATGCCTGTTATCTGAAAAGATTCAGGTAGAGCAAGTATCATAGCACAATCAGGGTGCTTGAAAATTGTATTTTCCTGAAAAAGACTTCTACTTGCCTTCTTGGATCACACACAGAGGAAGTCCAAGGTCTAGAGGGAGAAAATAACTCTTAGTAACTGAACGTTTGAACATTCATACAGGATTAATTACTTGTTTTATTTTTTTTCTTTAATTTTAAATGATTGTACTGCTAGCAGAAGTGGAAAGTAAAGACTCTGATCTATGCCAGGCACTTAGTACATAAAAATACTCTGCAAGTTTTCCCTATCTTGAAGAATTTCAGCATAAACTACAAAGGCAAAGTGGACTGAACCGATCCCTGGAGAAAACATGTGCAACTCCACTTCTATAAAAAGACTGCTTGCTTCAATAGATCTGTACCCATTTATCCTCAGGATGAATTCACACATTTTTTTCTATTACTAGATGGACATCCTATTTCTAATGGAGTCTACGTGATCTAAGCACTTCCACTTATTTTTTTCCAGAAGTAAAATCCTGTGCTTAGAGGATGAATTGCATTGCTGAGCAGTGCTGTAAGGATCCATTGAGGTACATTAACATTTGCAATATGCCATTGTGCTAAATCTGAAATACTGGGCTATATAGGAAATTTCAAACAAAGCATCTGCTCAGTCTTGGTAAAGCAAACCTTTTGTCTGAGGCATGTTGCACTAGCAAATTAGTGCACCAGGGATTATACTGCTCTTGAAATGTCACCAAAGTGCAGGAATCTCACAACAACTAAATAACATGGGAAGAATTGTGAATTTCCAACAACAATTCCCCAAAACCTATTTTTACAAAAATTCGCACCCTAGATGTCATTATGGTTCATAAACTTCTAGTAAACATTTACTTAAGACAATAATTAAGTCAATTGAAATGTTCAGCACAGGACATATGCAAAACGTGTAAGAGCAGTGGGTTCTGAGCAGTGGCAGGGAGGTGCTTAGAGCAGATGAGGTGTGAATCACAAGGGCTGCAGCAGCTTTTCCCTGTATAAAAGTCAAATGTCAGGCTGCCCGTGCTTGGTTATGATTAGCATGAGATCAACTCTCTGTATCCTGTGAGTCATATTCTCAACAGCCTTGGCCAACTTTCCTAACCTACCTGTGCTCTTATTTGGGGGGAAAAAGGTGTATTTACCCCCCTGCACCCCCGTGAGTGAGCAGCCCTGGCTCTGAGCTGTGTGCATGGCCCGTGGCACAGAGATGAACAGCGTCTGCCTCAGGGGCAATGCAGCTCCAGGAGGGTTTGGTTCACATCTGTGCAAGCAGGACACGTCCTGCCTGCACCAGAGGGAGCTCAGGCACGACAGGCAGAGGTTATGCTACAGCTTGATTTTCCACACTGCATGGCCACAGGGAGACATTTCCAGCAGACACTCAGGATTACAGAAGCAGTCTCACTGGATTACACTGCTGACCTGAATGGTTTGCATAACCCAGGAACTTCCTCCTTCCAAAGTAAGGAACTGTGTTGGTGATGAAGGTCTGTGCACTCCATGTTGGCATTGAAAGTGTGCCCTACATGGTCTGTTTGGTAGTTTCTCCAGCTCTCACCAGCCTGTCTCCAGTTCTGGCAGCAGTGACTGGTACCCCTCTGGTAGCAGCATCTGGTTATCTCACGTGACAGTAATGAAAGGGACACATGGGCTGTGATAAACTCCCGTTGAACCACACAACAACATTTCTGGGAAGGTCATTTTTGTTCTTACAGCAGGAGTTGTGTGGAATTTTACAGAGCTCACATGCTGAAATATAAACAACAACCAAGCTGTTTAACACCTCCCTGTACCCAAACAACAGCAAGGGATGCACCCTCAACTGGTGGAAGCCAAGCATCTGGTTTTTTTAACAGACAAACTTTCTCACCATTGACAGCAGAGGAGCTGGAAGAGTTTCCACCACACATTTGCCTTTCTTTATCTCTGGTCTTGCAGCCTTTTCTGCTCTCAGTTCCTCCTTTCCCCTTTCCCACACTTCAGTACACCCTTCTCCTTGCATCAAAGACGTAGGATCTGAAGCCTGGAATCTCAGAGCACTCCCTTCTCCACGACTCATTCCACTCCAGCTTACTCAAGGCTGTGAGAAAGCAAACACTCCAGAAACCTCAGAGGTAAGACCCAGATTTTTTGATGGAGCCCATTAAATCCAGTGAGAATCCCATTTTGAGGATCTGTAAATACCTGCTAGAACTCTGGCAACATGCAGTGCTGGGGCCAATGAATATTAATGCAGGAGAACTGAGCTCAGGCACAGCACAGCAGTTCCCAGGTAGGAGAGCTCTCTCCACACAGGCTGTGTCAGCACTTAAGTGCTACATTATGTTTAGCAGCACCAAGCACAGCAGTCCCCAGCTTCATTTTCTCCACCTAACAGTTGCCTTCAGAGTTTAAAGATTTATACACCCTTCTGCACTCAGCATTGAAATAGGAGCTAATTTCCATACCCCTTAGCAAATGCAGGTCCACGTCTCCAATCCTTTGTTTTCATACAAATTTTGTCACCCTTATTTGTTCCAGTCTGACCAGTTTTGGAGTAAAGGATCCTCTTGATTGAGGGCAGCAGAATATGAGCCCCAGAGAGTAGTCTGTGGCTAAACTGTGGCACTTTCATGATGAAAGAGTCTGGCAATATATTCCTAGTGCATGGGTTTTTTGATTGAATCAGAAAAGAAAAAGAAAATTAATTACATCAGATAATTCTATGCTTCAAATCCATAGTTAACAACGGCCAGCATTATCATCAGGTACCCAAATCAGGGAAGGTGATTCCAATGGGAGTGCTGTGAGACTAGAACTGAGCCCTTGAGTACAGTATGACCTGAGATAATGTCAGTGTGAGAGGTTTATACCCTCCCTCTCTCCTCTTCTAAAGGAATCTCATCCTTCCTTTTGCTCTCACCTCCACTTCCCCCATTAGCTCTACACGACTATTTGTGGACAGGCACTCTAAACCAGATCACTGAAAGGAACTGCTTTAAAAATAACCACTTTTTCCTTTAGGAAGAAGTGCTTGGAAAGCAAGGAGAAGCTGCTCAGACAGGTAACCTTGAGGCCTGACCCCGAAGGCAGGCAGTCCACACCAGGCTGGGAGATGTGACACAGATCTTTAAAAAGCCTGCTAAAGGCATGACATGAAATGGCAGCCCCACAGAGCCTGGAAAAACACGCTCTTGCTTGACAAAGCACACCCAAAGCCCTTCCCTGAGCTGTTCTTTAAAAATTAAAGTGACCCAAAGCTAAGCATATTTTAAAGTGTTGTTTGTTATACAAACAAACAAACAGCACAGCAAGAGAAGCAAAGGAATCATTCTTAACCACGAGTATTCTGCGATGTATTTCTGCGAGAAAGGCCCTTGGCATTGCTGTGGTGAGAGCAGAGGACATTTTCTACATGCATTTCTACAAACAGAAAAGTATTCAAATTGGAGAAGCCCGTTTGGCTGACTCTCCCCCTCTGCAGCTTGTGTACTCCTCCAGCAGATAACAGAGGACAGCTCTTGCTAGCAGGCTGCTCTCCACATGCTCTTCATTAACTCTGTGAAAAATAAAAGCTCCGTTCGACATTGTTTGATGGTAATTAGAAGCTGAATCAGGAAATGTGTCAACCTGCCGACGTTCTTTGGGTGTTTACAGTTTATTCTGGCATATTACACCTAGTTTTGTTTAGGGCTTTCTTAGAAACCTATGTTACTACAGGGAGTGTAGTTCGAGGAGCTGGTGACACGCTTGGAATATAATTGTGGAGAAGGTGTTTTTATGAATTCCACCCAAGAGGAATCAAATGTTAAAAAAAAAAATCAATGTTCCTTGGATATGCTGGGAATCTTTTCAATTCACAAAATACGATGATTTTTCATCGCAGATACAGAAGATTTGACAGAATCAACACTATCAGAGACGATGCAGACTGTTTATCTCTTTGAGCAGCACTGGTAAATTCACAGTGCTAGCAGTTTGGAATTAATGGTCTCTACCAGTGGAGGCCAACTAGCATTTCAGTCTTAAAGAAGATCTGACAAGTTCTCTACATAGAAAGCCCTAAAATACCATAAACACCATCTAGCTAAGAGTCCACAGGTAGCATTACACTTTGCTCTATATCCAGATTTGCTGTTTGGGCTATACATGAATGTTGTTCATTTCAGACAGGCTGTGAACAAAATAATGAACAAAACTCCCTCTTTGGCTACCAGAAAGCAGCCAGTTCTCATTTGGGTAAGAATCCTTATTTCCACACTCATCTTTTCTTTCCCATTGTATGTATTGCACTCAGTTAGAGCCCAAGTTGCCCAAGGCTGATTCATTAGGACATGTAACATGGAAACACAGACACTCATTTCAACCTGTGGTCTCTCTGTGCTGGCCTGGAGTCACTGCCATCCGTGTGAGTCAAGCACTCAGCACACCTGGGAACCTCCCAGAGAAATGAAAGCACTGCTCAAGTCAGGGGGATGACTCAGTGACTGACATGCTGCTCTCCTTTGGAACTCATCCAACATCTTGTCATGACACTGTCTGTTCACTGCAAACAGCTTTCTCCTTCCTCAGATGGTGCCAGTCATATTTCTGAACATAATCAAGGAAAGAGCATGACAAGAGCAATCACATGCAAAATCTGTAGAGCTCCTCTCATAAAGCTGGCTGTTTGCATTTCTTAAGTGTCTCTGTAACTCTTATGCTTTTTGAGGACAAAACATTATATTCCAGGTCTGATTCCAAGGAAAGCAATAGAAGAACTCTCAATTCTGTTACAAACAGTTCCACAGAAATCAGGAAGACAAGATTTGATGGTATAATAAACACAGCTGGAGGCAGATCAAAGCAGTGCAGGCATTTTTCAACAAGAAAGATGACAACTTTTCTCAAATGAAATTAAGGTTTCTACTTACTCTTGCGATGCTCGGAACATCTGCCTTCAATATCCCAGATTTTTTACTCTCTTGGTGGGACAGATGGTAACGAGGTGCCCAACTCCCAACGCCCTTCAGTAAGATTTAGGCACCTTGCCTCACAATTTTTCAAGACTGACTTCTCTATGTTATTCTCAGCTTTGAGAAACTACAAACCAGGAGATTCCATTTGCCACTCTGCTGCCAGGTAGCAGTTTGCCCTCACATAAATTGCTCGACCTTTGCGTTCCCTTTTTTAGCCACCCCATTTGTGAACTAAAAACCCACCCCTTCACTAATATATTTTATACTTTTTAAAATGCTTTGAGCTTGCACTAGAGGGACACTATAAATACATCCATATCTAAATTACCAACACTCAAAAATAACAGGAAAAATACTTGTTGGGGGATTAGCCACATATGATCAATGCCCAATAAAAATCTACTACGGTTTTGCTAAGGTCATTTAGTGCTGTGCAATTCTCATGAGGTAAATATTTTTGAAAGTGGGGAATGCTTTGAGATTAAGCAATACATTACAGTTTTTGATCAAATGCCAGGAGCCATAGGTGAATAGGAAACAGACATCAGTAATTACAGTTCGTACTGCAGCTATTTCAAAACCCCTTGCTTCAATGAGCAAGTATTAACTGGACAGACACTCCTTCACAAATTAGAGGCTGCAAAGACTTATTACACACCATATTTATCTTTGAAACTTGTCCAACAGAATTAAACTAAAAAAAAATAATGATACAGATTATGGTTGCAGGCAAAAAACTATTAAAACTCGAACAACTATATATATATGTTTTTATCTGTCAAACTGTCCCTGCAGCCACTCTTTGGTTAAGGAGCTCAGGAATGTGGTATTAAGAAATACTAGTAATTGTATTAGTATGCTGTTGTCAAACTTCAAACTGGCTGTATTTTATCACAGGAGCTGATAAAAGAATCTCTTGATTGTGCAGGCCTTCAAATGCAACAAAACTGCAAGAACACGAGACGGGAGCAGAAATGAGAACGTGTGACACCCATGGGAGGGAAAAGTGCACATGGAGTGTCCAAGCTGTGCCCAGAGCCATCAGCTTGACATCAGTCAAGGCCACTGGAAAGCCAAAAGCAATCCAACCACCTCCCCATGTTCCAGCATGTGGGTAACAAGCTCAGTTAACTGACAAAGTCTGGCACAGAACAGAGGTGTCTGAGCAGGCCAGGATGCTCCAGGGACAACCTTCTTCAAAGAACAATGGTAACTGTGAGAGGACATTCCCCTTTCCAGTTAGTTTTTCTGTTGACTCCAGAGAACTACACTTGGGCAGCTGCAAGATTTTTCCTCAAAAGACTTAAGGCCACTCAGGATACCCGAGATAGTACCACCACCAATGTTGGACAAAATATGAAATTGTGCTGGAGAAAAAACTGGGGCAAAAGGAGTGCAGGCAGTTATGATTTTCAAGACTTCTGAGGGGAGGAAGGTGCTCAGGCAAGGCTGCCTTTTAACTGTTGCCCAACTCAAGATAGCATCAAATAAGCTCCTAATAAATACTTGGCTTCACAACAGATTCATACTGAAATTTATAATTTAAGCACATTCCTCTAGATTTCAGTCAGACAAGAAGCTAATGCAAACTTTTCATTTGCTAGAAGAATTATTATTATTACATCTCAAATTTAGTTCAGTGCAAGAGATTATACATTTAAGCTGATTAAAAAGCTTAACTAGTTAAGTTAACTAAAAAAAATCCAAACACTTGGTTTAACACCATTAAACAGAAAAAATTAAATCTCAGAATGCACTTTTACTTGTTTGGTCAAAATTTACAACACAGAGCAAAACTACAAAAAAAAGTGTCAGGAATGCAAAACATTTCAAAACAGATCACCAATTCAGGAGGATGCTTATTAAAGGCACAATTATGCATTCATTTATTAGGTATTTATATGATCTCTATACAGTTGTATTAGGCTTTGGAATTTTCCCTGTTAACCAGAGATTTCTGAACATGGTATAATTCTGGAAATCAACTCTAATAAGCAAATACTTCAGGTAGATAAAAATGCTTGAAATGTGATCATTCTAAATTCATCACACAAGTAACCCAATGCAAATATTCTTCATACTTCCTAAACAGTTCCATGATTAATGGCCTAACATAAAACTAATTGGTAAAGTGAAAAGTATTACAGGTGGTTGGGCAACAGCTGGTTTTTGAGGGTTTGCATTTCTGTTATAGCACATTTTCATAACAAAAAACACTGATCCCTGTAACTAGATCAAGATCTTGATTTGACAAATAAATACTGTTACTATTAAGAGTAATTACTGCAAAAATATATACAGCATGTTTAATATACTCTATTAGTAATTTAAGATGTTTAATGGAATACTGCTGATGTGTTTGGCACTAAACTATCAGCATCACTCTGCTTTTCAGTATATAACAAGCAGAAAGGTCAACTGTATCTAACACCTATCTGCCAGCTGCTTAAAAAAATAACAGATATTATGGACAGAGTGCCTGAACTCTTGGACAGGAGCACTTGGAGCTGAGAAAAACCTTGCTGAAGGTTCATGGTGTAACCTGTGTGTTTGCACAGGTAACCATGCAATTTACCTTCCTAATCACTTTACTAGAGGTAACACTTGCTTCCTTCCACACACGAGTTTCTAAAGCAATGTAGTTTGTAAGCCCAGTGTGAGATTTACGATGTTATACTGCAGGAACCTGTTTAGCCCCTGATTTACAATCCTGGCAATTGTGTTCAACTCTGTCATCACAGCTAATTACAGCTAACTGCAGATTACCATGCTGCAAACTCTCATCTGCGTGAAAGAAATACGATGTTCTGCTAAAAGAGAAAAGAGAATCAAATATCCCGAGGGCTGATGAACAAAAATGCACCATTCCAGCTTGGACTGCAAAGCTGAACTCTCCGAATTGCTGCTGTAAAACTTCAAATTGCTATTTGTTGGCAAGGTGTTTTAGCCTCCAGTACTTCCCCAGTAAATCAGCATTACGTTAATACCACACCTTTGGCCTCAAACATATTAATCTTGGTTAACAATAACTGACATTTACATTACCAATTCCATTCAGGCCTTGTGGTGACTAAACATATATGCAAGAGCTTCAGGGAGGAAAGTTATTAGTTCTGAATGTGTACTTACTTTTCACTGAGAACAATTTCCAAGAAACATTATCATCAATTCTTGTTATAATCTTATAACATAAACATTCAAATCCTAATTGATCTGTAAAAACATTTGACTCGGAGTAAAATCTGCATTTGTATCTTGGGTGCAGTTAACTGTACAACATAACACCTTTCAGATAGTTTTCCAAGATACATATTTCTATATTTTATCTGCTCAAAGAAATTGGTACTTTTAAAACGTGTGTTCTTGGGAAGGAAAGAAAAATGGGAATTTGAAATATTCTGAAGAATGTGGCACCAGAAGATGACAAAAAGTACCAGATCCTTCCAGGAGAGGGAGGATGGACCTTTTCAGACAAATGTTTTGTGTTTCTATTTACTAAAGGCTACAAATGCATAAATGGTTTAGAACAGGTAGGATTGTTTTGCTTTTCTTCATTTAGTGTTCCCCCCAAACTTTCAAGCAGAACAGTAGTACTTCCTGCATTGTCTGTGCAACCCCAGCAGGAAAACTTACCCTTCCCCTTATACCCACTCATCATAACTGCAGTACAGCACAAAACACATTTGGACCAAGTGTTTTATTCCAAGTTCAGGGAGTTCTCTACCAGACTCCAAATGCATTCTGAAATGCATTATCTTAGTTTTTCATATTTATGAGAAAAGTGCTATATTTAACAGAGGATTGATGATTAAATAGTATTTTTTACTGGTTTATAGGAGAGCATCAAAACAAGCCAGTGCAGCCTAACAACAGGAAGATAAATACAAGGCATTTGATGTGTTGGGTTTTGTTTTGGGGTTTTTTATGTTTAGATTTAACAAGATGCCTACAAAGATTCTTCAAGTAACAACAGGTATTTGACTTCTGAAAACACGACAGATTACATGTATCCCATGTTGCTTTTTGTTTCCCATCTTTTCTTGGCTTCAAATCTGAAATAGGACACAAAAACCACATTAGGAATCACAAGCATGTGCGTTTCAGGTATTTAACCACGTTATTCTTAACAACAACAAAAATAAAACCTTATTTTTAATACTGTAATAAAGACCTGAAGACAAATACAGCCATACAACCACTACATTATTTGTGATAAAGCCCCTGTGCTGAAGTCTGTACACAGCTACAAAACCCCACCGAAACCCAACAAGGTTAAACTAAACAAATAAGATTAGCACAAGCCTATTTCAACTAAGAAAACATTTCACTGAGATTGTATTGTATACACTTAGTGCCAGTGATACCAGAACTGTTTAATTCCATACTCAAACGACTTACCCCCAAGCAAGCTTCTTTTTCTTTTGAGCTTCTTGGGCAGCCTCTGCTTCTTGCTTGGCTTTGACGAAGTTGCGGCAAGCGGCTGCTTTGGCAATTTTCACACCAAGCTAAGACATGAAAAGGAACAAAGGAAAACTCATTAGATGCAAATGGCTCACATGGAATTTAAGCCTCACAAATTACTTGGTCTGATATTGTTTCTCAAAAGTCAACAGATACCGAAATATCTTTCAAATATTAGGCCGATGAGGTGCTGCTAGATGGGACAAACAGGAATGTCTGGAGAGAAACACAAAGGTGTAGGATCCTGGGGCAAGAAATCCTTTCCACCAAACCCTTGATTTGCAAAAATAAAAGCAAAGGGCAACAGCTCACTAGATCCTTTTGTTTGTTTTAAACAGACAGGAATACACAAACACACAGTCTCCTTTATTAAGATCAGTCCGTGACCTCAGCTGTGCTATCACAATAGGTCTGACCAGTATCAAAAACACCCAAAAATGCAATTTTATACAGGAAGAGCTGCTACTACTACGCATTCTTCCAGTAGAACCACTAACCATTTTTAATCAGTCCGTCCAAAGATAAATAAAACAGTGTCCTTACTGTCTCTGTGCCCTTTAGTCTTCACATTACTACTCTTAGATTGTAAGTGTGATAACACACATGCTTTTCAAATAAGGTTGTAGGTGAACACCACTTTCCTTCCATAAACTTACTGAAACTCTGAGAATTCAGTTCACTGTAACAAATGTCAAGGGGGCAGAAAAGAGAATAAAGCAAAAGAGATGGAAGAAGGTACTGTTGACTATGACTGGTTCATTTTTCTTAAATCAGCATCCACAACTTATTCACCGTAGTTACATTTTGTGGTTGCTGTCATGACTTGACATTATGAATTATGGAGGAATTTGTTCTCAAAAGTTACTGCTATTCTCCAAGACAAGTGAGCAATTCATTTAGCCAAAATTGCTACAAACTGATGTGGCCAAACAGGTTTTCTTTCAATCCACCCCAAAATCTACTGAAATTAGCAAACATGTTTCTGACTGGACGTTCTGAATTCCCCAAAATGTCACAGGAGCATCAAAGAACAGAGGCATGGGAGACAGAGGTGAAAGAACACCCCTCACCACTTGGGTTCAAGTTCCATCATTAATGGTCATACACTTGATTAATCTGCAGCATCTCTACAGACAATGATTTACTCTGAGAAATGCTGTATCCAGAGAAGGTCAGAGAGAACTCAAGAACACATCTTCAGGTGTAGATGACACATTTTTTACTACTATCCCACCAAATACCTAATAGGTAGGTGATCCTTTTGTTAACAAAGCAAAAAAAAAAAAACAAAACCAAACCAGCATCACTAGAAGCTATTCTACCTTATGGTCCTCTCAGGGTTCAAGAATGAAGCAAGCAGCTTTTCTGCAGCAGGCTTTAAGAAAAGGCAGTAAGCACAGCACAAGCAGTTGAGAGCTAAGCATAACATTTTAAAAGGAAAATACACATTTTCACAAGCACAGTATTTTAGAAATGAAAAAAAAGAATGCTAAACAAGTTTCACATTCACTTTTTGTACATGTTATAAGGTCATAAATATGTACCTACGGAATCATCTCGATGCACAAAATAATTAATGTGACCAGCTATTTCAAAACTTTTAGGTTATCTTCGTAATTTCCCCCCTGAGCATTAACATTTTATATAATCAGTAATTCAATGCCAACATCTGAACCGCCAAATCTCAGGTCAAAGACTAAAACATAACATTCTTTTATTTGCATTGTCACTTAATATTTAAGAGCAGCTATTAACTTTAATATACTTGCGGTATAAAAATGCCTAAGAAAACTCACCTAAAATATTCCAAAAATGTTTACTTTTAAATTGAAACAGGACTAATTATTAGCTTAAACAACAGAGCAATCTGATGGCTGAAGTCAATCAGCAGAACCATGCCTTTATTAACTGTGTTTTACCTCCTAACACGCTTGAAAATTAACTTTCACTGGGAGATGAATAACAGCATCTCCTTCTACTCTAGTGGCCTATTGAGCACTTACACACACACAAATATACACAAGTGAGGTCTACACAAGTGCTGCAGAAAAATCTTTTTGTCTGTATTTCTTGGAAGACAGAATGAGTTCTTCCATCTCTAAAATAGGATAATAAGATCCTCTGCAGCATATGGGGAAGGGAGAAACATTTTGCAGCCTTGTTATCATTTCTAGGCTACAGAGAGTCAAATTTTCAAGACACGAAAACAAATGTTGCACATAAACAGATGCAAACATTTCAGTCAGATTAAATGTCTTCTGCTCCCACCCACACCCAGACATACATCTGCCCCCCCAAAGAGAAATCCATAAAAGCTTGGTCAATGGATTTTACATTAAAAAAAAAAAAGAAACTGCTAACATTTCAGGTCATCAGATAACTCAATAAAATACAATCTTAAAAGAAGTAAGAAAGCATGAATAAAAATATATACAACAATTTCTTGTGTAGTCAAAGTATCAGCATTTTCCATATAGAACATCCAATATTTTGCTGCATTTTAATTAAGGTGTCTAAACATTATCACAAAGAACTGCAAATTGGTCAGAGCACGCAGTAAGGAAAATTAAGCTCTAAAGGCTTTTTATCACCATATTTCAGGAACCAAGGGTGTAAAATGTTCTAATTTGGGATATATTAAAAGCCATAAAAGGTCTTTCAAAAAGATTAATGGTACTTTGCTTGGATTTAAGATAAGGGCTTTAGCTGGTTGGAAAAGCAGGGCCCTGGCTAGACCCTTGAGGCATTCATCTTTACAGCCACTTGGAAGATTTGTAAAAGCGTCTGCATAACCTCAAGCAAACGCACTGCGACATTTTTTTTTTTAAATTCCTTTCAATTTTACAGGTTTAAAGTGTGTAAATCATACTGGGTAGTAAAGCTGATACAATGGTTCATCCTTGTAACACTACATATATATATATATTTTAAGACAAACACACATAAAAAAAAGAAAAAACTTAGTTTCTACAGGGCAAAGACCTTTCTATTTTGAAGTTGACCAAAAATCGTGTCAAATATCTAACTCTAGATGTTTAATGTAGCATAAATGGAAATGTTCTACCCATCTGAAACTGTTACCTTGTAACAAATATCCGAAGCTTTGCCTCTTTTTGAACACTTCCAAGGCATTTATTTAAAAATACCAATTATCATACCTTAACTTTTTATGGAATAACAGGTCTCTATGAAAAATATTTATGCCATTCTCTTTTGTTCTTTAATTAAATGAAAACAGATGTTTTCTGAAGTAAAGCGGAACCATTACTGGAGTACTTAAAGTGTTAAGGTCTTTAATTTTTATATCAGTTTGGTCTACAATTCCTGATTGTCTTTACTCAAGCTCAACATTAATGTCAAGCAAGTTACCTAGGAGACGAAAGAGATCAAAGAGACAAAAAACCCTCAAATGTCTGATTAATCAAGCCTGCAAACAGCTTATTTCTTTTAGCCTGCATGCAAGTATGAAAATGAGATTCTGGGAGCCGTACATTGTGCAGATTTGTTCATTCTTATCAGAACAAAGCCAGCGGCAGCTTATTTCATGGATCATTGGCACTGTCATCAGTGCTACACAGAACGGGTGACAGCTCCTCATTTTGAGGCTTGAACAAAATTAGCAAAAAGTCGGCACAAATTAGCCTCTCATCTTTTTAGTAATATGACATTATTCATTTACTTTTTATCCAATTTTTAATTTTTTCCTTGTCAGCTATCCCTTTCTAGTGTTTCTCGCCCGGCATCATAAAACACTTTTAAAACAAGCAAAGAAATGGCTCAAGTTGAAATAGAATGTAAAGTTCAGGCAGAAGAGTAAACATTTTTCTTTAAGTTGCAACAGAATCTACTGTAACTTCCAGAAAACTTCCCCGCAAATCAAGACATTAAACATTAAACATCACAAAGCAAAGAGTTCTCAGTCAGACAGGACTGTGCAATGGAAATGCTGAATGACACAAGCACTGACACAGCTGATCCAAGAGCTGCTCCAGAAATATTCGGGTATGAAATGAAAAATGTTAAACCCACAAAAGCTCCAACAAAACATTTATATTCAAACAGGTCCTGAAATATCCTATGACCATACCAGAGAAGCCAAACAGCCTTTTAATACAGTGTTACAGTTTCTCATCAAATATGAATCTAGTTATTTCAGGCTTGCCTGTAGCAATGATTTTCTCCTTTTATGTTATGGAATGTTATCCGTTGCTGACGTATATAAAATATATAAAGCAAACAAGAATACCGAGTGGATTTTGCAGTGAAAATTGTCCCCTTTCAATGATGTGCTCAACTTCCACTGTAAAATACTTTGTAATACCTTTGTTGTATTTTTATGCTGTGTATTACAACATCAAATTATATTTGGATGACACAGTAATGGAGGAAGGACAGAAAACTGTTCTAATATTAAGCTCTTTGCTAGACTTAAACATTTAAATGCAAGTAACTTCTTCCATTCATGAGAAAACACAGCATTAAAAAATTAACCATAAGCTGTTAGATGCTTTACAGAGCCCCCTTATAACAAAGGCAGTTTTAAAAAAAGAACTGTAGTACTGTTTTCAGCAATTTCTTTATCTCTGTTCTTCTAAGTAAGAAAGCTTATTAACAAGCTTTGAACTTAAAATCACATTTACAATAATGTGCCATCAACAGTTTTATAAGCTAATTAGAAAAAAAGATTAATTAATGACTGGCTGCTAATAAAATGGCAATCATGAAGAAAGAAACCAAGGGTGCTAAGCTTCAACTACCACCAATTAAGAGCTAATTACAAACAAATTATATATGTGTTTTGCTGTGGGCTTTAATTTACTAAAATGGTTTTAATTAAAAGAGAAAACATGCTGATTAATTGAACTGCAGAAAAAATCTACAGTATAAACTGTGCTTTGTCTGTCTCTTTAATTAGACTTGTAACATCTGAAATCTTTTTTTAAGGTTTGTTAAGGAAAAGATATACATAATTAAGGGAGCATAAGAATGTAATTCTAGGTGATAACCCTGCCATGTTCTAAAGGTTAAAAGAAAACCACCTCAATGAAGAGAGGTATTTGGAAGCACCTCCACTAAGTGTAAGAAAGGAAAACCTTCAGAGATAAAAACAGAAGCTCTTTTTTTTTTTCTCATTTTTTTTGGGCTCTTCAACAGGCAAGACTTCCAAGATAACTTGGTGACATTATATATAAAATTGCATCACTCATTTCAGGTTCCCAAAAACTCTATGAGAAATGGTGAAGGTTGCACAGAATTCAGAAATTTTATTTTACCAGTAGAATGTCATCAAGCACTAACACCTGCACACCTCTAACAGCAATGGCACCACAATCATATCCCACCCAGATCCACAAATGGAAACCAGTTTCCAGGATGGTTCTCAGTAGTTATGACCTACAACCTTGGCTGTACTTCTCTTTCTAAATTATGTGCCCAGAAGTTATGGGCAGGCAGCACATATATACTAATTTACTAATAATATACTAATTTGATCATGAGAAAACAGTCAAAACTGCTGCATCACATTGGAAGAAAACAGCAGGACTGATCTTGCCATAATATGTGAATGATATCTCTGTGAATGGCCAATTAATTTCACCAATTATGATGCAGATCTTTCATTTAAGCCTGATTAAATACCAGAGTGTCCCTATAAATTGCAGCTTTTTAAAAATCTTTCACCAAAACGTCAGAAGCCACTAAGCTGAGCACTCAGTGCTGTCAAATAGTCTGTGCTCTTTAGAGACTGACAACTACTCCAGCAATTTAGCACACTAAATTACAAAATATTTTAGAAGTTCCTTTTGACAGGTAAGTCTAATATGGTCAAGATTATTTTATCATGTTCAAGTTACAGTCCTCAGGCTAATGTGCTCTTAGACAATATGGCACCTACCTACCAGGCAGTTAACATAAAAACCACAAGAAAATGCAAAGTTTGAGCTTTAGTCAGAGTAGTTCTCAGAATATTAGAACCATAAGAAACCTGTGTTCTGCTTTTTGACACACCACACCACGACTTGAGTACAGAAGCACTATGAAAAAACCTCTTTGCCTAGGGGGAAAAAAGTTTGGAAAATATATATCAGGAGTGGAGGTGGGGAATCTTTTAAGATTATTTGGTTTAATTAGGTGAACAATTTTTACAAGTATCACTCCCAACTAAAACTGATTTCCAGCAAAGTGATATTACCAGGTATCTCCACATACCACCCATACTCAAAGGGATGAACACATCCAACCATGCACAGTCACAGTGCTCCCATTTATCAACATTTATTCTTCAAAAAAAATCTAGGCAGATTCCCACAAACACAGCAGGAACAACTTAATTACATCTCAAGATACTATTCCAAGAAGATTTTTACAAAGCATTAAAAAGTTGACATAATTCCAAATGTCTGTTCCAAGCTACATTTTCAAGTACCTGCTATGGTTAGATCTCAGCTATCCCACCCTAGGGCATCACCAAAAAAACATTTTATTTCAGCCCAGGTAAGTGTCCCCATAAACTTTACTCTCAATAAGTTTCATTCCAAAAGGTTCAGAATTTTTTGGGTAACTCCTACATTATTAATAACAGTTCTATTGGCATCCCTCAAGTTAAACAAGCCATCCTTAAATGCAATGTTCAAACAACAGCTTTAGGTGTTCCAGTCTACATTTGAGGAGCAGAACTCTAAAACATGAAGGACTCTGCCAATGCTGGAAGCCTTAGAATGTGATAACAAAGACAGCAACTGGATTACAACAGTGAACAATAACTGTGCATATTATACCATGCACACTGCAATGAATTGCTAGTTATTTAATACTAATGGCACTGCACTGCAGGGATGAAAGAAATAATGCAGCAGTTTATCTGTGCTTTAAGATCTGCAGAGAGTTAGGATTAAGCAATATGGCCTGTGTGCTCAACACATCCATCAGAGTAGTGCTGATCCTGCACACTCTGACTGCATCACAGACTGAGGGGCTGCAGCAGAAGCTAAAGGAGCAGAGCTACTGATGGCCTAAATTATTCTGGACAACATAATGCAGTGATGGCTGCATTTTTTCAGGAAGAATTTCATTCATATATAAAAGAATGAAATCAAGGATTTCAGGCTCACTAGACCTCGCAGTGAAGTAGGATATCCCACATGAGGACATGCCAAGGATACCACATTTGAGGATCCACATTTGAGGATCTGCTACCCTGATAACTGACAGCAGGAGACAAGGGCTAACACTTTGTAGTGAGGTTTGCCAAGAGATCAGACAGAATATCAGCATCATTAGGTAAGTACAACTCATTTTTATAACAGAATCAACTGCCAATAAAACAGGAGTAACACACATCAGCTAGCCTCAAAAGCTACACAGGAATCCACACTAGTAAATATATCCTCATGCATAAGGTATCCAAACTCTAACTCTCAGTCCAAAACCTGGAACACGACCAGACTGAGAAGTTTTGTTTCAAAAATCAGCATTTGTGCATATTTGTCAAAGCAGAAGAAAACAGCAAATAACATATTGCCCAATGCCTCATTTACTGCAGTACAATAACATTTTCCTTACAGAATCTGCAACAAGTACCACTTGGAAAGCAAAAGACCCAAAACCTTGAAGCAGTATCATTTAGGTTTTTAGGATGTAAAATTCTGTAATGCATTCACAGCTGATAGGTTATGCATATTGCCTAAGTCATCACTGATTTTGGATGAATTTGATTTTAAAAAACCTTTTCTCACTGTGTCATAACGATAGCATATTGACAGCCTCATTTTGACATTGCTTTGCTTTTCAGGACGTGCTTTTACTGTCTATACTCATCATCTGTTTATTTTTGGCTTCATTTTTCTAAATACTGAAGCTGCCCTATCAGTTTCACAGGCTTATAAATGTTATACATCAAAAATTAGTTTCACTTATTAAGGCAGGAAACGGCTTTAAGAACTCTGGGATCTGTGCCTGAAAGCAAAAGCTTTATCAGCAGGTTCCAGTCACTGCTTCTTGCTAAAGAAAATGGTGCCGATTAAAACCCCCCACACCTGATTTCAAACAGAACACCTGCCCAAGGAACAGTTCTCCCAGGGCTGCAAGGGGGGCTGCACCCCAAACAGCACACACTCCCTGTCCCCAACCCTGGAACACTGCCCAAGAAAAATGAAAACTATACATAAAGAGATGGAGTCGAGATAAAAGAACAATAATTCATCCACTTCTTACTCCAGACTTCAGAAGTGGTGCCCTTCGATACAGCCATAGTGCAGCTCCATGCCTGGCTTGCTCACAGTGGAAGTTAGAGGGACACAAATAGCCACATACTTAATTAAACTCACTTCTTAGAAGCATTATATAAAAAGAGTCTCGAAAGGGACATTTCTTTAAATTCCAATTCTTTAAATTTCCTTCCTAAGAGAAGGAAAGCAGCGATTGAATCAATACTGCACAACATGAAAGCAATATTAGCTGTATTTGTGTACAAAGCAATGGCTGTGGAATCAATGTCTTCCATAATCAAATCCTTTTCTATAGCTCTTCACTGAATGGTCACTCTTAGAACAACTTCCTTAGGAAAAAAAAAAAAAAAGTATTTTAAAAGATCCATTTTAAAAAAATACAGCTTCCAAAAATCACAAAGAAAACTGAACCTTGCAGTGAGTAATGGAACACACCCTTGCAACAGCAGAGAACCCCAGTGAATTCACATGGAATCTGCCTCTACAGAACTCCTCAGGAGAGATCAAGCCAGTCATTTGAGTTTTCCTTCTTTCAACATACTATTTATTCAGATAAACCCACTTAACCAAAACCAAGTCAAGGCTGTGAATACTAATAATGTTTCAAGCATTTTGTTTTCAGAATTACAACATGCTAATATTTGAAAGTCAACAATTTGGAGCTAATGTTCCACAAATAATAATACATTGCTGCAGCACCTGGGATGTGCTAGATGTTGTATAATCCCATGGCTACCAAAATCAGATAACAGTTTATCATAAATATTACAAAACCTTAAAACTTCTTACATTAATTTGTTTTTATAGTCAAACAATTTGCACTAGCACCTCAGTATGTTTTATTGATTATGATACTCTAACCACTTTAGAGCAGATGGGATAATGACATTTGTGAAGGAGAACAGCAAGTGTTTTTCACGTTGTACACATGAAAGTAATGGAACAGCCAGAAGCTGGTCAGACTTAAAGGGAACATCAGGACACATTCCTATCACTGTCAGTGCCAGTTATCTTTGCAGATTGAAGTTTTGTGATCACTGGTGACAAGGCAGATAAGAGGTTAGTCATTAGAAACTGCCCTGAGTGACTACCTGGAGGAGTTTAACAATTGTGTAAGAACATCCCCTGAGGAACAGTTAGTTTTACCCAACCTTACAGAACCTTAAAAACTGTATTTCCCATTTCAAAAGCCCTCTCTTTCTAAAGCCACCACAACACTGTAATACATTGCATTAAACAGATTTAAATCTGCAGTTTCACATTAAAGCTTACTTTAAAACCCTGTATTTAAGAAATATTTAAAATATTTGAATGAGTAGTCGTCAAAATTTGTCTTTGCTTTCTTAGTCCTCTTCCAGTACCTTTGAATTTGGAAAGCATATACAGTGGACAGAAAATTCTCACTAGCTGTGTGAAGATGGAATATGCAAAATGAAGGAATGAAAGCAAAAACTATATCATAATTTTTAATATTAATCTAGAATCTCTAAATTATACAAAGCAGATTAGTTAAAAAATGATCGCTTCTCCACTCACTCAAATAATACTTATTTAGATTTTTCCTTAACTGGCCTCAAAGCTATTCCAACTATATTTTTATCCTAATTTTCTTCCTCTGCATTTTCTCCCCCATGCACAACTAGCAGTGGGCAAAACAGACCTCATGGATTTAAATTACATACTTCAGCTGCTACCACCTACCTTATGTGCACCTATTTAAGTATTTCTGACATCAAATTACCAGAGCTACCTGAGAGATTCCTCACCAGTTTAAGTATTCACTAAGCACTATGTACAGATTTAGAAGGGTCCAATTTTTGTAGCAAAGGGCAGCACAGCCTTCATGAAATTTCTCAGATACACCAACAAACAAGACAACATCTTGAAAAAATTGTGTTTTTCTCACCTTGATTTGTTTTTAGATATGCATTTATACACTAAAAAGTTATGAGAAGGAGAAAAAAAAATCCAACACAATTCTAAGGCTACAGCAATATATTTGACAACCATCTACTCCCACTTTTCTCCCAAATTCTTCTGGCCATCAACTCCTGAAAACATGAATACACAGGAAGAAAAAGTATTGGAACACAAGTTGAGGTTTGTTTGTCCTTATTTGGACACATTTCACTTTAACTTGTCTTCAGGTTTCCCAAGCTTACTGAGGAGGCAATGCAAAGAAAAATATGAGGCCCAGGGAACTGAGAGGAATGGAACATCCCACTCCTGTTCTCTTGGCTGGCAACACACAGAGAAGTCAAAAGCTCACTATGGATGAGCAGTTACCAACCCCTCTGACTCGTGGAGTCAGCAGAAGGCTTTACAGCAAAGTTACTTGGCACTGTTTGTGGTTGAACTTTCAAGCCTTAAACACAGCTACAGCTGCCCAAGCACTACTAGATCAGCAGCAAAGTCCTTCAATCACTAACAGGACTCTGCTCAGGGAAGATGGAGTGAACAATCAACATCATTTTAGTCATGACACTTTTTGTACAGACGCACAAAACTCAGTGTCCCCTGGGAGTTTTTGTTAAAGCCACTCACCTCACGCATGGCCAGTCTGTCACTCAGCTCCTCAGCCTTGGCAATGTCCCCTTCAGCCACACACTTCTCTATGCTAAGTTCAAGGCCAGACTAGGGAAAAAAAAAAAAGGGGTAAATATCTTTAAGACAAAAAGAACACATTTAAAGAGAGTACCTCCTTTCTGAAAGTATTTCTTTCATAAAATTCCTTAGGACACTGCACAAACCTGCAATTTCTATGTAACACAAACCACTTTGTCTCTGTACTGTAATGGACAGTATAATTAAGAATTCACTGAAAGGCTGCCCGAGCACAAATCATTGCATTAGTTCCACCTTATGTGCAGGATAATACTATAGGTTAAAAAAATTACACGGACTAGTTTATGCCTGTCACAATGAAATTTCATCTGAAGATCTGTCTTATCTCTTCCATCCCTGGAGCTTTCTAAACAAAATGTGAAATATATGTGTCAGGTAACATGAAGAATGGCAATTACCACTGTATCGTTACAGCTCTAAGATCTTATCTTTCTCCAAAAACTGAGTTCTGGCACGATGCCACTCCCTCTACTAATAAATTAAGAATTCTAGCAGCCCTATGGAAAACAATGAAAAAGCTTCAGAATTTAAAGGTTATTTTCTTATTTTCAGAGGCAATGATCAATGTATCATAACTTGTTCAACAGCAACATTTACAAATAACACAACCATAAAAAGTAAATATTTCCTGGAAATTATAGTTGGAAACTTCTGATGGAATACAGAAAGGTAACATAGCAGAGGACACAGACTTCAGAATTTCACAAAAAAACTCACTTTCATAACAAAAGGCAATTTACAGCCTCACTGGTTTTAAATATTAGTGATGCTAAAGAAAACACATTTGACAGTTTCATAACAAACACTTTTTTAAGAGACAAAAGTAAAAAATCTAACGGAATTCTGGAGAAACAGTGATGTGCAAACTCTGCACTTCAATTATGTCAGGTGGTAGTTGAAAAAAAAAATGCACAAATGGACATTGCAGTGATAGCCAGTTCTGTTAGATGTGTTTTCTGAAAGTAACGAGACACACTTTCCACTAGAGAGAAAGTCCCTGAACTCACGTGGAAACCATCTGCATTTTAACACTTTGGGCCTTATTCCAGATCTATCCTGACCAGTTCAATGACAACTAAAGAGCCACCAAAAGTAAGAAGTGAACAATGTCTTATGATTTTCATGTAGAAACCTGCTGTAGGCAACTGAAAAAAATCAAAATGTATCATAAAGGAGGCTAACTGGACATTTGATGTCATAGAACTTGCACAGGACTTTACCAGAAAAACAACAAAACAAACAGTGCTACCAGGAACTCACAATATATGAAGTTTCTTAATTGTCTATTATGTGCACCAATTAGTTCAAATATGACAACTTACACAGTATTTATGAACAGGAAGTGTTAGAATCCCACCAAAAATGCATGATAGATTTGCCCTTTTAATTCCTACAGCCACTGGTGCCAAATGAAGGATTTTTGTGACACATTTGAAAGTTAAAACACGACTAAACAAAAGAAAATAAAACGTCAAACAACACATATGAAGCACTCTGAGAAAACATAACCAGACAGGAAACAAGGCTGGATGCTGTCTCAAGAGCAAGCAGAGAAACCATTCAAAAAAGACATTTATTAAAAATGTCACAAATTTGCCCTTCCTGAGTGATTTGATCATTTACTCTCAAATAGACTCAGTTTTATTCCTATCTCATGTAATGTCAACTTCTTTTACCACCAAGTACAAGCTGACACTGCTTTTGTAGCAACATTCACCTTTTGTGGGGCCCTGCTATCCACAGGTGATTCAAATCTGTCATTGATTCCAAAGTACTGTGTCAGTTCTTTCCATTTCTCTTCGTTTTCCAGCTGTTGGCTACTAAAAAACAAAGAAACAAGTCATCAATGTAACCAGCTCCCTTTCCACAAGTTGTAATATTCTATGCTAAATAGGATTCAGTGCTAGAATGAACTCTTCCATTTGGCAGGCATGCTCTCTTCACCCATTCAGTTTTTAATTCAAGTGAAATTAATTATTCCTCCCCCTCTGTAAGTATAATTCCAGAATGTTGAAAGCAAGCTGATAGAATTATAGAATCATTCAGGCTGAAAAAGACCTTTAAGATCATCGAATCCAACTGTAAATATGACACAGAAGGAAACACAATACAAGAAGGAAAAAGAAGAGAAGGAGCAGGCTGACCAGGAGGTTGTATGCAGTTACATGCAAAACATAATCAGGAATAACATTGAGTCTATTTCAAGTTACAGTAAATAATACATTAATGTTGATTTTTAAAATCAAGCAGTAACAGTCCATTACCATTCACTGATACAAACTCAGCCTGCCCAACAGAGACACAGAAAACATTCAGCAGATATTTAACATGATGTTCAAATTTAGGCTATAGCCATGCACGTGGTCAAGCTTTTTTACAAGTTTTGCCTGATACTAAAAACAGACCTCAGGAAATCACATTGACCTGGTTATACCTCTTAGTCACTTCATCAGCCTTTTTCTGTTTTGCTAAGGGGAAAAAAGAAAAGAGAAATCCAACATTACACAGTAATACCCCACAGCACCCAGTGAAGTTACAGAGCTCTAATTGGTCACATTTCCTTTCAAAGATCAACACACTGGGATTTTTACCCAATGATGGTGTGGTTTTAAACCACTCAGCTGTAAGAGACTCCTACAGTATCTGTGAAGAAGTTTTAACTAGAATACACTAAAGTATGATTTATAGAATTACTGAAATACACTTAACCATAATAAATCAGTATTAACTGAGTAAGTTCTACCTTCTTTTAAAGAAGAGAACAAATATATTACTTGCATTTTAAGTTGCAATTTACAACCTGGACCTGCAAGTGATGTATACAACTGGAAAAATAAAATCCTAGACAACAGAGAGAATACATCTACTCAGGTATTCATTTCTTCACTAAAAAGAAAAAAAAAAAGCCAAAACAAAAACAACAACTCCCCCCACCCCCCAAACCAGCATGTGCTGATAACAATTCAATTTTGAGAAAGTAAATTCCATAATTACAACAAACACCTTTGCGGTGGCGCTTTCTCTTTCGGCATCTGTTTTCCTGCTCTGCTTCCATTTTCATTTCACGGTGCTTCTTCTGAAGCTCCACAAATTTCTACAAGATTAAGAAAAAGCAAATCAGTGTTTTTAATTTTTTCCCCCCTATTTTTAAGAAACTACATATTGTGCTGAGAAACATTGCGACAGTATCTTATTTATCCACAGTACCTGGTGTTAACAATTACATTGAAATTTATAAATAAACAACATTCAACTCTGATGGTGTTAAAACAGAATTGATTCTAATCTTTCACCACCTCTCCCTGACTTTCTGCCCTCCCCACATCCCAGGACTATTCAAATCTGACAGTTTTCTCATGGGATGTGCCACAGAATACATTTCTGCTGGTACCCTTTCCAGGTATGCATCACCCCTACCATGGCTGATATACTGAGCTGTGAATCCTCACTGATGCAGAAAGCAGCTACCAAGAAGCTCAGAGCCCAAAAACCAGAGAACACAAGTTGCATGCAGCTGTCTAGTTATAAAAATTCTTTGCTGCACCACCACCAAACTACCCAGTCACTTCCTACCTAAATTCCCACTCTCCCTGCTTGAAACAATCTCAGGTATATCCTTCAATCATATTATATTTCATTTCAGATGGAAATAACATTAAGTTATTTTAATCTAAAAATCAGCCATTGGACTTTGTTGCATTGCTCGTTTGGAGACCTGCAGAGACACGCACATTCCAGATATTTACAGAGATTCCAGGAGGGCACGTTTGAGACTCGCTTTCTTTATCTGCCACTGGTATCACCGTAGGTTCCCTGCTGGCACTACTCTCCTGTCCATTCCCCGGGAGTTCAGAAAGCTCAGCTCTTTCGGTGTCCTCTTGTGCCTCTTTCTTCGAAGAGGAAGCAGGTGAATCGTCTCCATCATCAGAACTCAAATCCACATCACTTTCATTCACTCCCGGAGGTAACAGCCCACTCCACATCTTCCAGTTTCAGCAAGTCCAAACCACTTCAAGTCACTGCAGAGACAGCAGGTTACCCATCCCGAGGTGAAAACAACCTGCAGGAGAGAGAAATAGAACCACCAAACACCTCATCAGAAATATTTTAGCTTCTCACTAGCAACTACCAGTACGTGCCTTAGAAAAGCATATCGTAAAGCTTCTACGACTTACTGCATCAGAGAGGAGCAGACGATTTGAGTCCACAGGTTGACGCTGTAGTTCTTTTCCCCCTCCTCGTTCCTTTAAAGTCATGCCCCTTCGCATTTGTTTACGGCTACTTTCGGTTTAGGGGCGACACCAGAGCAAACGCCTCCCGTCCCTCCCCAGGAGCAGCTTCCCAGGGGAGCACAAGCCCCTGCCCTCGCCGCCGGGCAGGGCCGACATAGAAGAGCCCGCCCGGGGCAGGCCGGGGGAGCGCGGGGCACCCGCTCCGGAGGAGAAACGGCTCCACCGCAGGGTGGGGGAAAGTAAACGGCACCCCCCGGCCCTCGCAGGCCCGGCGGCGCTGCCAATAGCCCGCGGAGCTCTCGGGAAGCCCCCGCGAAACCCCCTCGGTGTCCCGGCCGTGTCCCCGCCCGGCCGTGTTTACCTGGCCGCCATCTTGGCACCGCCGGAACACCCCGCCCGCCCATTGGGCTGTGCGGCGCAGCCAATCAGCGGCCGCGCCGGTCTCCATGGCAACGGGGCGGGGCGTCCCCCGGGGAAGTGTGGGGTGTTCCCTGGGATAGCGTGGGGTGTTCTCTGGGATAGATAGTGTGGGGTGTTCCCTGGGATAGTGTGGGGTGTTC